TTTAAAACTATAATATGCTGTTTCTATGAAAGTGTAGTCATCTATACCGCTGACTCCAATACTCTGGGCCTCAGTTTCTTCTTCTGTAAAATAAAGGGTTTGAACTATATGATCTTGAAGGTCCCTTTGAGCTCTAAATTCCCATGATCCATTTCCTAAATTATTTCCCTCTTGCAGACTGTGTAAACTAATCCAGGCACATCACAGTAGACATTTAGTTGAAGTCAACACTTATAAAGCACCTACTACATGCAGAGTGGCTTAGTGGATAAAGAGCTAACCTTGGTGCCAGGAAAGTCTGGATTCAAGCCCTGCCTCCATCTCATCCTGCCTGTGTGATGCTGGGCAAGTCACTTAACTTCTTAGTGCCCTAGGCAACTCTCTGAAACTCCAAGTTATAGAGAAGATGCCCATCTACATAAAGGGAGCTTCTTTATCCTCATCAGGGAATTCCCTAAACTACTGAAATCACAGGTGTTTTCCCTATACAAAGATCCGATAAGACATGGAGTTTATAGGGACCAAGCGACTGTAACAGAAAATAAGATTAATGCATGGATAAACAGGATGGTATCATGGGAAGAACACTGTACTTAGAGATAAAAGGAGCTGAGTTTGAAACAGTTCTATCCTTTTTATGCTGTGAGACTTTGGAAAAGTGACTTTCCTTCTCAAGCCTCTCAGTCTTCTCATTTATAATAGTTGTACTAGCTCCCACATGTGGTTGTGGGGAGGATCAAACAATATAATGTATGTAAAGTCCTTTTTTAAAAGTGCCATCATAAAAATAACATCCAGCATTTAATGGACTAAGATTTATTCAATCAAACATTTATTAAGCACTTATTTGCTGACTATACTTAGGTCTACAGGACTCAAGGGAAAGCAAAAAAATGTCTCTACTTTTAAGGAACTTACATTCTAATTAAAGGGGCAGTGTGTAAATGTGTCCATCCAAGATATATACAGAAGAGATGGAAGGTAATTTTGCAGGAGAAAACTCTAGCGGCCAAGGAGCCTGGGAAAGACTTCTTGCAGAAAGAGGGTGGCATTTCATCTGAGCCTTGAAGGAAGCCAGGGCCTCTAAGTGGGAAAGGTGAGGATGTGGATAGAACATTCCAGGCATGGTGGGACAGTCAGAGTCACATAGGTAAGGTAGAAAAGCTGTCTATGTGTGCTGTTGTTGTTGTTTAGTCCTGTCTGACTCTTTGTGATCCCATCTGGGATTTTCTTGGCAGAGATACTGGAGTGGTTTGCCATTTCCTTCTCCAGCTCATTTTATAGATGAGGAACTTAGGCAAACAGGGTTAAGTGACTTGCTCAAAGTCACACAGCTAGTAAGTATCTGAGGTCAGATTTGAATTCAGAAAGATAAGTCTTCCTGACTCTAGGCCCACTGCTCTGTCCATTACACCACCTAGCTGACCCATATAGTTGGTCACTAATCAGCTGTGTTGGGCAAGTCACTTAACCTCTATCTGTCTGAGTTTCTTCATCTGCAAAATGGTGATAATGATATCACCTACTCACAGGGTTGTTGTTAGAGAAGACATACATACATACATACATATATATGTATGTGTGTATATGCGTATGTATGTATGTATGTATAAACACTTTGCAAACCTTAAGATGTAATATAAATATTATTATTATGATACAGATATGGCTCTATCTGTCTCTCAGGCCAGAGTTGAGAGCTGTAATGAGAGAATAACAGGAAGTTACTGGGCTATCTGGGGCAGAGGAAGGAAAAGGGAAGGTGGAAGAGGGGCACAGAATGTGAGGTAGCTGAGAGGAGATTCAAAAAAACTTCAGCTATGTGGAAATTTTGCTTTGGGCTGGCTTTTCTTTCCACAAGGAATTTAATTCCACAAATATTTAATAAGTACCCACAACATACAAGGTACTATGCAGATAGTTTGCATGCCCCAGAAATCAGATGGGAAGAGGTCGGTTCTATGACAGAGGTTTTTAACTTTTTTTTTGTGCCATGGACAAACATCAGCCTTTGGCAGTCTGGTGATGCCTATAGACACCTTCTCAGAATGGAATTTTTAAGTGGATAAAATAAAATACGTAGTTTTGCAAAGGAAAGTAATTATATCAAAATATCATTGTCAAAATAGTTTTTAAACAAGTTTATAGACTCCCAGATTAAGAATCCCAGCTCTAAGGCCTCCATACCCTAGACAAAGTATGTCCATCATTGAATTTTTGTGAGGTCCACTTGCCATCTCTCATTCTATCTCCCTCTGATTTTCCCATTCTATCATTCTCCTATCTCATCTGGGGTGATGAGGTGTAAAAGGTAAGGGCTGAGCCACTTTTTAGATCACCAGGACCTGAGCTTCTAACCTTACGTGGGTACCCGGGATAGCGGAACTCCCTTTTTCCCCTCTGGCCAACCCCAGCTCCAGAAAGTTCAAACAAGACGGTGTGCTGTAAAGTGAAAAACACTATAGAAATGTCTGCTATTATTGTTGTTGTAATGACTTCTATGGAAACCTAGGAGAAGCTTTACAGAGACAAGTCTGGGCCCCATTGGTCAAAGCTCACAGAAGATATGGGTGGTGGTGCTCTGTGTTGGCAACTTTGCAGGAGCTGTGTGGGTGGTCTGATGTTGAGTATACTATGCTTGAGAAATACCACTAGAATCCTAGAGAATCTTAAGAACTGGACAGGACCTTAGAGGTTATCTAGTTGAAACCCTACTCAAGTATGAATTCAGTCTACAGCTTCCCAGACAAGCAGTTATCCAGACTCTCTTGGAATGCAGCCACCTTACTTTGAGAAATGTTAAGACTTCACTTTGTTATCTCTTTTCATGACATAGAAAAAGACAAGTGTTATTCAGATGTCTTTCTAGTCTAGATAATTGAGCAGGTGCAAAGGAATGAAAAAATTCTTCACTTTTGAGTTGGCCATAATGCATTTCAGGCAACAGGATAGATCTGAATATGAACGAACTGTGATGTCTTGAGCGTCAGGATGACTTTGTTCAACTGTTTGCTGGGCACCTCTACCCGGATATCTCACCAATACCTCAAACTCAACGTGTCCAAAACTGATCTTGTCATCTTCCCCACTATAGCTATTCCTTCTTTCAATGTACCTATTTCTATTAATGATAAGACCATCCATTATCTCAGTCATCTAAATCTCCTTTACCCTCACATTCCCTCAATTGTCATTTTTAATGAATTCTACCTCAATGCTATCATTTGAAGGTGATGGTTTCAGAAAAACCTAGGAAGACTTATATGAGCTGATGCAAAGTTAAGGGAGCAGAACTGGGACACCACTGTATGCAGTAACAGCAATATTGCAATGATTATTAGCTGAGGAAGGCTTAGCTACTCTGATCAATACAGTGATCCATGACAAATCCAAAGGACTCATGATAGAAAATGGTATCTACCTTCAGAGAGAGAACTGATGGATTCTGAGTGCAAATTGAAGCATATTTTCTTTCATTTTCTTGCTTTTTTTTTTGCAATATGGCTAATATGGAAATATATTTTGCATGAGTTCATACGTATAATGAGCATCTTATTTCTTGCCTTCTCAATGGATAGGAGAGGGACTTGAGGGAGGGAGAGAATTTGGAACTGGAAATAAAAATTAAATACACACACGTGTATAATAGCTATCATAGCTCCTCTCAACTCACCTGCTACCACCCAAGGTTAGGTCTTCATTGACAGATGGACAAATGGAAGAAACATTATTAAATGCTTATTATATGCCAGGCACTGAAGTTGTCTATAATCTGCTTCTATCCACTCCCTTCAGCCTTATTTTACACTTATCTCTTTTCATTACACAGAAAAAGACAAGGATGTTCCAATCAGCCTAGAGTGCTGACTGACCCCATCTTCTCCAGAGCTCTCCCATCTCGATGCATTCATACAGTCTGTGGCTCATGCCTGAAAGGCATCAACCCCTCAATTCCTTATTTATAATTACCGGTATTTTTTTCTTTCCTCAGAAAGGCTTATCAACAAACCTTTCCTCATCTCCCAGCCCAGCTGGAAGTGCCCTCTCCCCTTTCTCAAAATTTCCTCTCATCTCCTAATCTGATGTAGTGGTTACTACAGTAGGTGGTAGCAGGACTTGAAATCAGAACTGGGTTTTTATTGGAACTTTCAGCTGACTAGCTGGTGAAGATGGACAGGAAGCCTCATCACGTCTATAGACCTCAGTTTCTTCATCTGTAATAAGAGGGTATATTTATATCACTCATCTCAAAGGGCTGAAGTGAGAAAAGCACTCTGTAAATGAAATGCTTTGTAAATTTTGGAGTGCCCTTTTTCTTTGCCCTTTTCACATTTTAATTATTATTTTTTCATACTTGTGTATGTGCCAGGTTCCCCTGATTAGTCTGTAAACTTCCTGAGGGCAAGGATTGTCATTTTTCATCTCTGGTAACTGCCTTGCGCATTGAAGGGGCTGCGCAAATGTTTGTGGAAATGAATTCCTTGCAGAGCCGAGATCCAAAGGCAGCTTGCCTGATTCCTAGCCCTGAGCTCTCTTCACCAGAACTCCCTGTTTACTTTAAACTCAATTCAGTGCCCGGAGCTTTTCAAACCAAATTTATTTTTGATCCACACAAGCCCTTTCTTTTCACAAATAAATAAACTAAACGACCTCCTTTTTCTGTATACTTTCTGATTGGGGGGGAGGAGCTTCCCCACCAGACTTAAAACAATGAGGGTCAGTTTATCAACTCTTTGTCAATGAATAGAGAACAGAGAACATTCTACTTAGGCGTTCAAAGTCCTACGGTTCTTTCACTCACCCCACGACCCCGGGCTGGACAGCTCCATTCCCACACGGCACCAGCCGCACGAAGCCCTGCAATTCCTCCCCCGCCCAATCTACGTGATACGGGGTTTTCCCCCCCGCGCGTCCCGCTGGGCTGATGCCCTCGGAGCGGAGCGGAAAGGGGCAGTGGGGGGCACAGGGGCTGGAGGCAGCAGCCATGGAGCCCGACTCACCTTGCCCACAGCGGGAGCCGCCATAATGAGCAGCAGCAACAGCAGCCTAGTCGGCCGCAACATTGGCAGCACCCTCCCGGACGCGCCCCCGGGATTCACGTTTGCGCCAACGACACTCAGCGCCCCGGTACCATGCACCCTCTTGCCGCTTCTCAGGCTCGGTTTCCCATCCCTTTTCACCCCGCCCTCGTATTCGCTCACTTTGGGGGATCTCGGGCTGGAGAAGTTGGGCTGAGTTTGTAGGGCGGGGACTGAGCGCGCCCTCTCGCCTCAGGCAGAGACCCAACTCCGCTGTCCAGTCCCCTCCCCACCTCTTCGGCTCCTACAGAGGCCTTGGGCAGCCTCCCTGGGTGGGAAGAAACCCCGGCACAGGTCCCGTCCTCAGCTTCTTCTGGGGCTTCCCCCACCCGGGGCTCAGCGGCCTCCGGGGAGGCTAGCGAGGGATGAGTGGGCAACCTCTGCTCTCTCGGGGGCCAGAAGGGAGCACAACTTTGGAAGGCAGTAGCGGACCAGGAAAGGTCATGGTCCTCTGGTTCCTTGTAGTCCAAACCCCGAGGCTCCGAGCTGGGCGGGGGTGGGGGCTGTTTTAGGGGAGGAGGTGGCTGCTACGGGTGGCGTGGAGGGAGTGGTCATCGGGGCCGCGGGCGCATTGGCCGGGGGAGGCGCGCGATTTGCGAGTTGGTGCCCGGCTGGTTCTTTGCTCCGTCCGCGCTTTCTCGCCTTCTTGTCAGTGCCCCCATCCCTGTCCTCCTTATCCCCCCAACCCTGGTGACGGGAGCTTGTCATGAACGTGTTTTGAGGGGAGCAGGAAATCCACACCCAATTTAGGGGCGAGGTGGAGGTAGAAGATATGCGCAGGACCTGTGAGGCTGTGGCGGCGCAAGCGGCAGGGCAGCTCCGGGAGCAGCGGGCATCACCTAGAGGTACAGCTCAGAGCTGGGGTTTTCCTCGCCAGAGAAGTGCCAGTCCGCTTGGCAGGCTCCAGGGTTTGGGGGCGCTGCAGCTAGGGGGACACCTGTGGAGGAAATGGTGGAGGGGAAAAGCCATCTAAGGGCGCAGGAGCACTTGGGGTAATGCGAAGGGGGGAGGGGGGAGGGAGTGACAGAGGCTTTTTGATTCTAGTGCCAGTCCGCCGGGCTTCCACTGGATGCCTTCCCCTGGTTTGTATGTTGATTTCTTTTGGGCGTAGAGTTACCGATCTCGCAGCGGGATCCGGAGTTGGGTCAGCCTCTGACCTTCTTTTGGCACGCATTCCTCGGAGCCCTGGCACCTTGTGAAATGCCAAGAGCAGGAGATAGCTAAGTGGAAAGAGAGCTCATCCCTTTCTCTGCGGCTTTGAGGTGGCATTTCATGCTGAATCTTATCTGCGGAAATGCTGGGTGGAAAACAAAATCTCCAGCCTTGCTACAGGGTCTCCCTCAAGCGTTGAGCCAAATTGAGACTTTGGATGCGTTTGCAGTATCCATTGTCCATTAATTAGTATGTCTTTAACTTTAGGTGGGAACCGTTTGTAGATTACTATTTTTATTTGTTAATTTCCTCAAGAGTTGAATTTCAGCATCAAGTCAGAGGTATGTGGCTGGTAATTTGCTTTGGAAAAGACATCATTTGCTTTCCATTAGGATCAGGGTATATGAAGAAAATATATTTTGAAAAATGTGCAACTGCTTTTCAAGAAATTTTTAGTGAATGTACAAGTGATGTATGATAACCAGAATACTAGATAATCACCATAATCATTCGCTGACTATGCTGGATAAGTCAATCAGTCAACAAGGATTTATTAAGTGTGTGCAATGTACCAGACCCTGTTTAGACAGACAGTTTTTAGCATGTCATTGAACTTAAACTTTTACCAAGTCATTTTTCTTAACTGCATCTGAAATTTTCCCCAAGCCTGGATCCAGTGAGCTGTATTTGTGCTCATCTTATATGCATATTATAGTAGTTGTATGCAAGATGGTAGGGACCTCATCAATATCACTTATGAAATTAGAGAAAAGGAGACTTCTATTGAACACCAGGGCAGCTAGGTGGTGAAGTGGATAGAGCACTGGGGCTGGAGTCAGGAAGACTCATCTTCCTAGGTTCAAATCTGACTTCTAGCTGTGTGACCCTTAGCAAGTCACTTAATTCTATTTGCCTCAGTTTCCTCATTTGTAATGAGCTGGAGAAGGAAATGACAAACTCCAGTATCTTTGCCAAGAAAACCCCAAATACGGTCACAAAGAGTCGGACGAACTGAACAACAAAAATTGAGCACAAACTCCTTTATCAGGAAATCGAAACATTCCAGGGCTTCTATAAACAGACCACAGAAGTAAGTTGTTGTAGAAATGCAATGACTGTGTCTATTTCTAGAGTTTATTTTGGGAAACAGTCATCAGTGTGACTTTTCCTGCCTTTCCTATGAGATAGGACAGCAGGTGCTGTCTTCAAGAAATTGGATAGTATTCTGATACTCTTAAATGAACTACCATTAAAATGGTTGATGGTGTTACTTCCTGGAAAAAATACCTTAAAGTCCAATGGAATGGACTTTAATTTTATGAATGATGCATTCTGGAGGATTTCCAAATTTAGGTTGAAACTTGACTTTGCCAGAGGCAGGGTTACTTGGAAGAAACAGAATTGGCTTTGTGATTATATTTGGAGCAGGAAGCAGGAACTACTGTAAATTGTGTTTACTGCAGAGAGACCAGAAATTTAAAAAGGACTTCAAATGGAAATCTAGCATTATGTAGCATTAAGATTGTATTGTAAAAATATGAATAATTAAGATTATACTAGAGGCCAGTAATAACACTATGTGAATGATCTAGGGAATAGTGCTGCAGCATCTCTTAAACCTGTCTACTTGAGTGAAGTAGAAGTGACCCTGTCATTCTCTTCTCTTAACTGCAGTCATCTGTCTCTATCAGCATCTTTCTGATCAGGCAATGGCCCCTCACTCATACTCTAGAAACCAAGGAATTTATTTTTTATTTTTTTACCCCACAGCTCTTCAGATCATATGGTTCTCCCCTATAGAGTTGTTGACTGACCAAATTTTTGCTAATTTTGATTTTTCTATTTTGGTTTGGTTGTGTAAATTTGGGGAAGCAGATGAAGCAGGGGCAAACTTGCAAAGAGCAGAAAAATACCTCATTTGGGTGTGAACATGGCACAAAGATAGCAAAGTGAAAGTGGGTATTTGTAAATAAACATTTATGACAATTTTTATGCTGCACCACACATTGGAATTTCTACCTCTCTCTCCCCCTTTTAAAAAGGAAAACAAAATCAGACTCAAATCTGTTATGCTCTAATGGGCTCATTATAAAGAAATAAAGCTACACAATTTTTCCTTGAATTCCAGCTCTTTTAATAGGCTTACTAACCTATATTTTTGAAAGCGGTGCTGCTCTGCAGAATAGCATTTCATCCATTAGAAGATAATTCGGTATTCCAGCTATGAAGATTATTCCATGGAAGTACTATTTAACTGTTCACATGTATTTTAGCTGCATTAGGATGAAATCTAAGATTCAGTAGGAAAAATGACATCATACAACAACCAAAGATTAATGACATCACAAACTACTTGTTCCATCATAGTTGAGACTATTCTGATGGTTATCATTTTCAAAAGATTCGAATCAGTAAACTAAATTATAGTTAAACTCTAAAATCCTGCTATTGGATAGCTATGTGGATAGAGCACTGGACTTGGAATCAGGAAGACTCATCTTTGTGAGTTCAAATTTTGCCTCAGATACTTACTAGCTGTATGACCCTGGGCAAGTCATTTAACCCTGTTTGCCTCAGTTTCCTCATCTGTAAAATGAGCTGGAGAAGGAAAGGGCAAACCACTCCAGTGTCTTTACAAAGAAAACCTCAAATGGCATCTTGGAGAGTTGACATAACTGAAAACAACTCAATAACAACAACAATAAGCTAGAGAGGCAGAATAGTTGTACAAAGTGTATACCCTGGCATCATGAAGACCTGACTTCCAGTCCTGTCTCTGACTCATACTGACTGTGTGGTCCTGAGCAAGTCACTTAACCTCTTAATGCACCCAGGAAACTCTGTAAGACTCTAAGTTAAATGTGAGTTGTCAGTATGTCTTAATGGAAACCCTATTGCATTGAAATCACACACACCTTAAAATATAAGATTTTTTTCTGATTCACAAATACTTAAGGATCTCATAATGCTTCAGTATAATCATTAGGAACATTTATTATTATGCTGTAATATGCAAGGGTCATGGGGTCACAGTTTAGGGGGTGGAAGGGACCTTGAAGGTCACCTAGTCCTCATTATGAGGGAAGACCTGAGACAAAGAAGGGTAAAGAGACTTGGGGTCACACAGGTGGCAAGGACTTGAATCCATACTTTCTGCCTCAACCTCCAGCACACTTCCCACTGGACTGCAATGCATCCTAATGCTGATTAACTGAGTCTGGTTAATGAATGACAAATGAAAGCATTCACTGCATTGGATTTTAATCAGAATCAAAATTATTAAATATATCTAAATTTATTTAGATTCGTTTGTGTTTCCAGCACACATTTGATTTTACAAAAATGGGATAAGATATTTAAATTCTCTTGAATATGATAATTTTGTAGCAAAAATTTAATTTGCTCCTTATGTTTTTTAGTGTTGAATATTGACATTTGCAAAATGCTTATGTTTGAAGGAGCATTAGATACCATCTAGTTAAATACCGTCATTTTTACAAATAAAGCCCATAGTGACCTTGTGACCTGTTGAAGGTCACACAGCTAATTAGTTGAGAGAGCTGGAAGTCAAACCCAGCCTTCCTTGGTCCCCATTTCAATACTCCAGTACTTCAGCAACACATAATTTCATGGGCAGGTAGATTATAGTAGGCTCACAATCACTTAGTAAAAGGTCTTTGAATACTTATGTGGCTAAAAAACATCATCCTTCTCTGGCCAGTCTGATGATCAGCTTCTCTAAAAGTAATTAGCCTGGCCCTTAGAAAACAGACAGACAGCTTGTCCTTGGCCTTGGAGTCACAGCCTTTACAACCTGGAAGAATTAGCCAGAGCTTAGGCTGTTCTAAATCCCTCACATCATGAACTGGCATGAAGAGTAATGCTTTAGTTGGAGGTGGGGGAGGGAGAAAGGGAGAAAAAGTTCGACTTAATTTCCACTGTTAACATTAAGTAGGAAAAATACTCATTTCTAATGTTGTAGTATAGGGAAGAATACTTTACTTTTAATTGTGGCATTCTATTTGTTTTGTTAGTCATCTAATGGTAACCATCTTGGTCAATCAACCAATGTTCATTAAGCTCCTGCTATGTTCGAGAAACTAGGCATATAAAGGCAAAAATGAAGCCTTGCCTTATATTTTTTATATTATGTATTATATATTACATAGCTTATATTACATTGAGGGAAGCTTATATTATATGTGTGATTACATATAATATATATTTTATGCATATATAATACATAGTTTATATTATAATATGTAACATATAACATTATATTATATAAACTGTATATTATCATATTATAATATATGATATATTACATGATAACATATAAACTATATATTATTAATATAAAATATATAGTTTATATTATGAGCTCTATATTATATTTAGGGAACCAACATATACAGATATAAGCACATGTCAAATGTATTTACATAAAGTATAAATTCAGGGGTAGGGGAGAGAATGCACTAACAGCTGGAGAGCACAGGAAAGACCTCATGAAGGGGGGAGCACCAGGGATTCCATGAGACAGAGGTGAGATGGGAGCACATTCCAGGCATGGACGACAGCCTGTGCCAAAACGTGGACCCAGAAAGAACAGCATGTGTAAGGAATAGCTTGAAGGCCAGTGTGGCTGGACCAGAGTGCATGCAAGGGAATCTGCATGTTCTGTTCATATTTG